TAATGTGATTAAAGGTCTTATGGTTGGGTGCTAGTAGGCTAATGAGTTGTAAGGAAGGAGTATAAGACCTCACCATGGAGTTTACTCTCCTAAAACTCACCCTAAGTGAGTTTACGGTTGGGAGACCACATCCCCCATGATTTTATGGCCGTAAACTCATGGGAAGGGTGAAATTGAGTGTTTTCAAGCCTCATGTGGTTCTAGAAGTGATTCTAAGGTAGTATACAAGGCTATAGGGGTGTTTAAGGTTCCAAAAGTGTACTCCCTTGGAGTTTACGGTCCAAGGACCACTCCTTCGGAGTTTACGACCGTAAACCCCATGGTTTATGGTAGTAAACTCTTGGACACCTCTATTCTTTGGTTGCAAGGCCCTTGGTTCATTCCTAACAAGTTCTAGTGAAGGTTATAAAGCTTTTTAGGGGTTTAAAGGGTCCTTTGACTTAGTTTAGGGGAGTTTACGGTCTAAGCATATGCTTGGGCCGTAAACTCTAGTTTACCCCTCAAATTTTGATGTTTAGGTGTTCCAAGTCTGAACTAGCAAGTCCCTAAGCCATATCTTAAGCCTAAATGGGATTTGGAAGTGTTGTTGGGCTTGTTTGCATGTTTAGAGGGTGTTTACGGTCTAAGCATGTGCTTGGACCATAAACCCTCTTTCAAGCCCTAAAACTTGATGGTTTAAGGTTCAAACACTTCTAGGTTAGGTCGAAAACGAGTCTCTAAGCTTAAAGGGAAGAAATTTGACACTTTTGGCAACTTTTTAGGGGTTTACGGCCTAAGGATGTTCTTAGGCCGTAAACTCCTCTTTTTCAGCCTTCAACAATGATTTTTTAGTTAAAACCACAATCAATGATGTCTAGAACAAGTTAGGGTAAGAGAAATTACGTTTTGGAGGCGGAAACTTGCGGTTTTTGGATGAAATCGGACTCGAGGAGAGAGAGTAGAGAGAGAAAGTGGGTCTAGTGTGGTAAAAGGTTTCTATGGAGTGTTCACTCTCCCTTATATAGGACTTGAGTGTTGTACCTGGTATACGACTACCCGATACCTATGTTTAACGAGGTTTAAACTTTCACCCGGTTAAATGGTCGTAATTAAAATAACTTTTTCCAATAAAATGGAAAGATAATTTACTTGTTTTTATTTATGTTATTACGACGATATTGACATAAAACACAAATAAATAAAACATTTATTTATTTTTCGACCCCAATTTAACGAAACTTTTATAAAATAGAATATTTTATTAACAGAAACGGGTTATAACGATAGACTAAATTTTGGGTTGTCATACTATAAAACTCATCATCATCATCATCATCATCATTATCATCATCATCATTATCATCATCTCTCTCTCTCTCTCACACTCTCTCTCTCATGAATGTCATTCTTCATGCACCATCACCCGATTTTGACTTTTTAGTTCCATTGAAGACGTTCATCTTCTTCCTCTCTTCCATAGTCGGTGTTTCATCACCAAACAACCTGTAAAGACTCATCACCACCATTATATGTGCAACTTCAAACACAAGTTCTCTCACACAAAATACACCAAGATGAAACCACAATAACCCCATAATTTTGAAGATTTCATATGTAACAAAGAATCCATGGTTGATATGAAGTCGATTACAATAACATTTCATATAATTTATATTTCCTTTTTGTATCAAAACTAACCTGCAAAAGCATTAAGAGTTCATCTTCTTCTGCGATCTTGATTTCAGTGAATCTAAAAGATTTCCTCCGATCGGTATACACGTAAAGTAATGAGGCCTAGATCTGTTTTTGACCTAAAATAAATTCGAAATTAACATATCCGTATCCACTTTCCTGTAAAGATTTAACGTAATAAAAAATTGTTTTTCATTATCTTCTTCACTTTGGTGCTTTCAATTCCAGTCATGAAGCTGAAGGTTCTTTCTCTCTCCCCTGGTACATCCCTAAATCGGAAGAAATCAAGACACCAACAACATCTGAAAACCACCGACATTGGGAAATTCATGTATAGCATCGAAACTGGATTTGCAGTAGACGATCGATTTCGTTGTTTCGTTTTATTTTTCATCAACTTGATAACTTTTTTTTGATCTTTTTCAAAAAGTGTAAAATGTATGAATATACTAGAGTATTTTATAATTTTGGTGTTTGAGTTTTTTTGTTTTGTTTTGTTTTTTTTTTTTTAATTTTTGTTATTTATAGTTTTTGTAACTTTTTTTTTTATATTTTGATTCACGTAAATAAATTAGTTATATTTACAAATATAAATCAAGAAAATAAACATAACTTTTTTATTTACACAAATCAAAATAAAAAAAAAGTTACGAAAACCATACATAACCAAAATTAATAAAAAAATACGAAAAACACCAAAAAAAAATATGAAAAGTATAAAATGTATTAATATATTAGAGTATTTTACAACTTTGGGGTTTGATTTTTTTTTTTTTAATTTTTCATTACTTAAATCATAATAAATAAAAACAATGGAAGAATAATAAATAACTAATTATATATAAAAAAGACAACAAAAAGTGAAATAATGATAATAATAAATACAAACATAAAGTTGCTAACGATATTAATCATATAATATCAAAGTAAATAAATAAATAAACCGTAACAACAAAAAATTAAAAAAAAACATTAACGCTTCATTTCATAAGTAAAAAAAAAAGATTTTGATATGGTTTATCGAACTTAAGTTTATTTATTTGAATCAATATAAATAAAAACATTAAAACCCATAAATAACTAAAATTATAAAATAAAAATAGAAAATAAAATGTCAAAATGATAAAAAAAAATTATCAAGTTGTTGATATATATATATATATATATATATATATATATATATATATATATATATATATATATATATATATATATATTCAACAACTTGATAATTTTTTTTATCGAACAACTTTATATATATATATATATATATATATATATATATATATATATATATATATAATTTATATTTCTAATTTATATATACATAAAATTTCAAATTTATAAAATTACACGAATGGTCTTTGAGGTTTGTAGTGTATTGCAATATTGGTACAAAGACAAAATAGTATTTTCCATTAAAATCGAACAGCTGAAAAGTTAGATTTAACGGCAGGAGGACCTTTCGTGTAATTTTATAAACCATAAGGACCAGTCGCGTGACTTTTTGCAAGGAAGTCCTCAAAGTGCGATATTCTATATACCACGGGGACCAATTGTGAAATTTTGTTTTTTTCTAATATAATAAAAAGGGTATTGATTTTTCCACTAAAGTTTTTACTCATCCATAGAAAAAATTGTGAATATACATTTATACCCTTAATTTAATTACTAGTAATTATCGAAGAACTAGATAACAAGAACTTAATCCATCCCTGCTGAACTTCCAACTTTCGTACGCTTAATTTACTTTTCTTCTTGCATCCCTCTCATTGCAGATGTACCTAATCCCACTCATTGCATATGTACCCAGTGGCTTGTTTCTCAGTTTGCTAATGGAAGAAGTTCACATCTCCGACTGTCTCTGATTTCTTATATTTTCTCAATACTATTATTAGTTTTCTCTGTATTTTATAGGATTTTACCCTGTGTATTCCTGGTGGTTTGCCTTGTATTCTTTGAGCATTCATGTTCAAGATGATTATCCAGTAGAGATTAAAGTTGGTGTAGCAATAATAACTTATACAATAAAAGACTAAAAGTTATAAGTTGCTTGGAATAAAATTAGATAAATGTTGATGGTTAATTTCCCTCTAGAAAATCTGAATTGGGGCTATTGGAAAAGTTTAGCCATCATGGTTGATTAGATATCAATGTTTGTCCATATATCCTAATCATGATGAACATAAATTTAACAAACCAAAGAAAGAAAATTATATTAAAATGTCTGATTACTCAAATATATTAGAAAAGAATATACATAAGAGAGAGTAAGTGATTATAAGGCATGGAAGAAAGTAAAAGTGAAAGAAGGTGGCAGGTATTGGTGGTTGGGTAATTAAAGGGGAGATCTTTGCGTTGAAAGAGCACTTATTGTTCATCTTCTTCAACATTCCCATGGCTTCCATTGCTCCCGACATCAATCCCCATTCAATCAACCTAATTTCACATTTTAATCACCACTTTTCTTAAATTTAGCACACCTAATCAAAACAAATATATCAGAAGAAACCTGCAATTCTAACAGAAACCTACAATTGCTAATAAAATTTGGGATTATGCTGCTGTTGAGGTCTAAGTGATGGAGATGGAGTATTTTTAGGATTCGACGTTAGAGATATATTCAAGTTCTTTTGGTCTTTCTATCTTTTTAGTAAATGTTAATTAAATGGAGGGGTATAAATGTCCATACACACTTTTTTTTTCAGTGTATGAATAAAAAAATCTTAGTGGAAAAATCACGACCCTAAAAAAAAGAACGGGGAATGTCCGTACCGACCTGATCAACCCCAAAGACCCCCTTAGACAATGGTCAAAGGTACACTGCGCCCTTTGACCAACTAGATTTTCTATTTATTCACAACCAATGCGTTTACAGTAACCCTACATCATTACCAATATCAACAGAGAATGCCTTCTCCCAAGAGAGAGAGAGAGATATGTATTAAATAATTATATTTCATTTTTTTAAAATAAAACAAAACTTAATAAATGATCTTTATGGTAGTAAGTTAATAAAAATGTTTTTCAGTTAACAGATAAAACTTAATGAAATAAATAATAAGACCATCCACCTCGGATCTTTCAAAAATCCTTTGCAATGCCACTCAGCAAAAATTAAATGGCATTTGGACTTTATCTTTCAAATTCTACGAGGCTTGCAAACCGATATATTAATACTCTAATCAAATAATTATATCTAAATATTAAAAACCAATTGGTATATTACATTTTTAATAAAATAATAATATCCAATAATATGTAATGCAAACAATGTAAAAGTGGCATTTACAATCCAATTGTAAGCCTCCCACTGATTTGCTCTAAGGACCAAAAATAAAAAATTTTAAAAACACAAAAGAACAATCTTACAAACTAAACTTTAGATTTGAAAAACAACATTAAAAAAAACGATATTTTTTCTAATATAAAAAAGGGGGGACAATGTCCGCACCGACAACCCCAAAGACCCCCTTAGACAATGGTCAACGGTACACTGCGACGCCCTTTGATCAACTGGATTTTCTATTTATTCACAGCCATCGTCACCAATATCAACAGACAATGCCTTCTCCGGGTTTAAACCTCGAAAATTATGTAATTCCTCTGGAGGAGATCAACCGAGCCACTAAAAACTTCAGTTCCGAAAGATTGATTGGAAGCGGTGGATTTGGTAAAGTCTACAAAGGAAAACTGTCTGAACGCTGGCAAAACCTCACAGTTGCTATCAAACGCCTAGATCACGACAGCTACCAAGGAGAGATTGAGTTCCGCAACGAGCTTGACATGTTTTCAAGATTCCACCATGAAAACATCATCTCTTTCATCGGCTATTGCAACGAAAGCAATGAGATGATTATAGTCTATAAATATGCTATCAATAGAAGCATTGATTATCATCTCCAAGACCCAGATAAGAGGCGCAGCATAACATGGACACATCGCCTGAAGATTTGCATAGGGGCAGCAAGGGGGCTCGATTACCTTCACTGGGGTCTTAACGAGCACCAAAGAGTTATACACAGAGACGTAAAGAGTGCTAACATATTGTTAGATGAGAATTTGGTTGCAAAAGTTTGTGATTTCGGTTTGTCAAAATTGGGTACCAAAAATCAGCCAAATACCCAACTGTACACTAACACCAAGGTTGCGGGGACTCACTTTTATCTGGATCCCACCTACCAAGAAAGCGGCATCCTCAGCAAAGAATCAGACGTATACTCATTTGGGGTTGTACTGTTTGAAATCCTGAGTGGGATGTTGGTTTATTCTAAAAGGAAAATTGGAGATGATAGACCTCGTGCTCTCATGAAGTTTGTGAGACGATACCATGAAAACGAACCAGAAAAGTTAATCGATCCCTATATAAGAGATCAGATTGATAGTCGTTCTTTTAATACCTTTATACAGATTGCATATCAGTGCATTAGTTTAAATTTAAAGGAACGTCCTCCGACAAACACCATCATCCAGCGGATTGAAGAAGCATTGAGTATTCAAGTAAGTATTTTTCTTTTTATATCTAGTTTAAGCAACCAAGAGAAAGTTAGAGATAGTTTGGGTCTTTATGCATCTGTTGTACTTGATTTGGGTTACCCTGTTGATATGATATGATATGAGTTTGAATGTTGCTGCAGGAGAGTGTTGATGCCTTTATCAAGTGTGTTACAGCAGACATGGGATTCAGTAATGGCATACCTGTTGCAGCGTTTACCATATACAAATGCGTTCTCCATTGGAAATATCTTGAAGCTGAAAAAACAAATATCTTTGAACGACTTATTCAGATTTATATTTCAGAAATTGAGGTACTTCCTCTAGTAATAAAAAAAAACAATGCACTAGGTAGAAATCTAGTCAATTAAACTATTCATTAACCTTTTACATTAATCTAGTCATGTTGACTCTAAGAAAGATACCAAGATTTAGTTTAGAGTTAATTACTTTTATTAGGGACAAAACCACATGAGAGAATTCTTATCCCTCCCTATTACAAAGAGAAGAGAGTTGGCGTAAAAGGACTTTTTACTGAATTGATCAAATTATATTCACACTTCTGTCTATTTATAATAAACAATATGATCTGATTATGAACTAACAACTAACTAATAACTCTCTAACCATCTATTAAATTACATAATGAGTCTAAAATGCCCTCTGTATATGTTAATACTACCACCAAAAGAATATGAGAGCACATATGTCATTTTCAGTTTGCCCTCTTATTGCGTTTGTGGGTGGATTTTTTTTTTTTTTTTTTTTTTTTTTTTTTCCACTTGGGATTAAGGGAATAGAATTAGAGTTTTATGCAGAAAAGTCCCATTATTTTGGGAATTTTTTTGATAAAATCCTAATTTTTTTTGAACAGAAAAGTCCCGAATATTTAATTCTACACAATAATTTGTCATTTCCTGTTAAAATAAAAAATAAAGACTTTTTCATTAATTTGGACAAAATATTAAATAATCGGACTTTTCTGTTCAAAAAATAAATATTTATGACTTTATCAAAAATTTCTCCAAAATAATGGGACTTTTCTGCATAAAACCCATAGAATTACAAATAAATTGAGATTTCTTCAGCCGACACACCCTTATTTTGTAATCCTCTTATTATTCATTTGATTTGCATCTTAAAGTTAAAAGATGAATTTTTTTTTTTTAAATTCAGATTATTTCCATCGTAATGATGGTTCACCTTAATGCAGGTACAAAATAATAACAATCAGATGGCGTATTGGTTATCAAGTGCATGTACTTTTCTTTTCTTAATCCAAAAAAGTGTAATACTTGATCATAGTACAAGTTTAGTTGAGAAACCTTCACCTCCAGCTTTGGTGACAATGGTATTAATTTTTAATCTTATTAATGGTTTTATTTTTGCAACTTACATATCTATGTTCCATGGTAGTTGAAGCCAAATGCCTCATTTTTCTTTTCAAGCAGAAATTAACAGCACATATCGAGAAAATGTACGCCATTATTTGTGAAAATTTGAAAAAGGAATTGGGACCATTACTTGCACAGGTAAATGTAATTGTACTTTGTTTCATCCTCACCAATAATCTCCTATTTATATTTGGCTTCCCTTATCACCTTTCAGCCACGTAACCATATTATATTGAAAAGTTAAGAGTAAGTTACACGAATGGTCCTTGTGGTTTGGGGTAATTTACGCGCTTCGTCCCTAACTTATTTTTTTAACTCGTGAGGTCTCTACTATTTGTTTTTGTTCCGCGCTTGGTCCCTACTGTTTGTTTTTGTTATGCGCTTGGTCCCTGTCTTACCTAAAAAGACTTATTTAAATAGAAAAAAATGGTGGGGTAGGTAAGGTGAGGGGGTGGCGTTGGGGGTGTGTTTATTTAAATAAATTAAAAAATCAAAGGAAAAATATTTTTTTTAGGTAAGGCAGGAACCAAGTGCATAACAAAATCAAACAGTAAAGACCTTCTGATTTAAAAAAATAAGTTAAGAGACCAAACACGCAAATTACATAAACCATAGGGACCATTCGTGTAATTTACTCAAAAATTAACTATTCTCCTTCCTTTTATTCCTAACCATATAAAATAGTGTGACCTGTGGAATCCTTTAATTCTCTCTTAATTAATCCCTTTCTTTTGATTGTGACACTTGGTCTTGATCTAATGAGTAGGAATAAAAAGTAGGAGGATATTCAATTTGATTTCTCTCTCTCTCTCTCTCTCTCTCTCTCTCTCTATATATATATATATATATATATATATATATATATATATATATATATTAAAATTCAGGCTCCAAGAATTTCCAAGGGAGTGCTGAAAGATTCTGAGTCGAATGGTTGGGAAGGCATTGTTGATTGTCTCAACACTCTTGTGAACACGTTGAAAGAAAATTTTGTATGTGCACCTAAAAATATTGGACTTGTCTTAAACGATAAATATTAAATTTGTTTAGAAGATATATTTTGCCGGATTTTCTTATGTAATTGCATTTCAGGTGCCTCACATAATTATTGAGAAAATAATTCCTCAAATTTTCTCATACATCAATGTGCAACTTTTTAATAGGTGTTTTGTTACCTTCTTCTTTTCAAGACATTTTTTTTGGTTTCCTATAATCCTAGTAGCATAACATAAATATATTATTTTCAATTATCATGACTCTACAGTGTTCTTGTGCGTCGAGAGTGTTGCACATTCAGCAACTGTGAATATGTGAAAGCTGGTTTAGTAGAACTGCAGCAATGGTGTTGCAAGGAAAAAGAAGAGGTAATGCTTTCTCATGTTGTGTATGTTTATGCTCCAATATATTTTCATAGAAAATAATCAATGTAGCCAAATAACATTAGTATTGTTGAAGAAACATGTAGCGTCTACTTTTTCAGTGGCTTTGTGGAAAAAAAGGATCAAATCAAATTTTAATTAACTAGTATATATGTGGAAATTGTTTTTTGTATTTACAGTATGTATGCACAGCTTGGGATGAACTTGTGCATATTAGACATGCTATTAAGTTCATGGTATGTTTCTTCCAATTAAATTGTATCTTATAGGTTCTATTGTTGCTTCTCTCCCCATTAAAGGAAGTTTTCTTGTTTTGTCTAATATTATATTAAATTATTTATTTCATTGGCTCATTGCACTGCATGTATTCACACCTTATTCCATATTTTTGTGACCTTAATTCAGACTATGCATCACAAGTACAGGTTATCGTGTGATGAAATCACCATTGATCTGTGTCCTGTAAGTCTCTCTCTCTCTCTCTCTCTCTCTCTCTCTCTCAGGTTATTCTTACCACAAACAAAAAGTTGGATTTGAATGAGCCTAATTCACCATTTCTAAAAACACGAGTCCTCCTGTATTTCAACCGATATTGATAATATTCTATTTGTGAGGGGCTCAAGTGTAGTTTTAGAAACTGCTGGACTTGTTTTGAATTTTTTTTTTATCATTTCAAGGGCTTTTATGAAACATTTTAAAACTATAGAGCAAATTACACGAATGGTCCCTATGGTTTGGGGTAATTTTCATGTTTGGTCCTTAACTTATTTTTTTTAACTTAGAAGGTCCCTACTGTTTGTTTTTGTTGCGCGTTTGGTCGCTGTCTAACATAAAAGGACTATTTTACCCTTGATTTTTTGATTTATTTAAATAAACACACCCCCAACCCCACTTCCGCCTCACCTTACCTTACCTACCCCACCCTATTTAAATAAATTAAAAATCAAGGGAAAAATAGTTTTTTTAGGTAAGACAGGGACCAAGCGCGGAACAAAAACAAACTGTAGAGATCTTCCAAGTTAAAAAAATTAAATTAGGGACCAAACGTGCAAATTACCCCAAACCATAGGGACCATTCGTGTAATTTACTCTAAACTATATATATTCTGGGAACTAATTTCGAAAACATGAGAGAACATGGTCCATCTGAAAAGTCTAAAGCCTATTTTCAAAATAAGTTATGTGGCCAATTCCTAAAACATGATAGGATGCATATGTGCTCTTTGAATTGACACTTTCATCTATTTTCAGATTCTAAGCATCCAGCAGATGTATAGAATATCCAGTCTTTATTGGGATGACAAATTGGATACAAGGTCTGTATCCGAAGATGTAAGTGCTACATGTGAAATTTCATCTTTAAGGAACTAAAGCTATTTTCTTAACATGGTGTGTGTATATATATATATATATATATATATATATATATATATATATATATATATATATATATATATATATATATATATATATTATAAAAATGAGTTTGTCATTATGTTGTCTTTAACAAGGTTTTTTCAAGCATGAGGATAATGATGACACAAGATTTCAATGATGTCTCCATTCTATTAGAAGATAGTTTCAGGTATAATACTTGTTCTTTCTCCTTGATGAGTAGTTCAGAAGAACTTTTATGTTAGTCGCTCTTGAGATTTAAAAAAAAAAAGCCAAAAACACAAGTTTTGCAACCCCTTTGGTTTGGATTTTGTGATATTTAGCAACTACTGCATACACATAATCACATTAAACTTCTTAAAAAAAAAGTTAGTATGCTCACTCTATCACAAAAAGAAAGAATTCAAACACATTTTTTTTTAACAACTTCATCTTGACTAAAAATGTAATACAATGACTCATTGAGTTTTCAAATGCAGCGTACTTTTCTCTGTAGATGACCTCTGTAATTCCTTCCAAGTAGAAAATTTTGCAAATGTTAAACCTGCTGTACAACTTGCCACGTATCCAGCCTTTGATTTTTTGTACAAGTAAAGATCAGACCTCTAACAGTGTATGTTTTGCCAAGGTATATAGGATAATCTTTGCATATGTGCAAATGTGTAAAGTTAGGGGACACGTGTTGGAAGTTCCCTTTAATTGTATTATTTATAATCCTGTAGTTTTAGGACTTGTAAAGTTTTAATTGAACTTATGATAAACTTCTACAACCAATTATATGGAGTCCTTCAATTTTAGGACTTGTATTGGAACTTATTATAAACTGCTACACTCAATGATATGGAATAGTTTTTGAGATTGTTTATTGGTTGCATTTGTTGAAAAGTTGATCTTCAATCCGGATCTTTAGGATTCATGTGTGTGTGGTTTTTTTTTTTTTTTTTTTTTTTTTTTTTTTTTTTTTTTGGCATAGAATAAAATTACAAAATAATGGAATCTACAAGGTAAAGAAATGGATCAGTACCAATTATTTTAATGTTTGGTTACTCTATTAAAATGAAATAGTATTTTAAGGTAGTGATAAAGTGACCGAATATAATAGAAAATAAAGTTATTGATATAATTGACGTGTGATATAGTTGGTTGGCAGTGGAAGTTCAAAACATGCTAAATTTAGACTTAAATGTACGGTTTTGTTTTTATTTGCCCATTATGGCATTTTATATCAAGTTACACTCTACGTGACATTTCATATATGTGTCCAACTTTATCCATGTGGTGCTAGCATGGTGTCTACATGGATTTTAATTTATTATTTTTTTTTTTGAAAATTTGATTTTTTATTATTATTGAAACCAACCCTACCCCATTTTGTTATCATCGATTCCAAACAGATTGAGTAGCAAAAAGTGGTCATACAAATATCACAAATTTAGCATCAAATTGCATTCATCATCGAATCCAAACACATTGAGTAGCAAAAAGGGCTCATGCATGTGATGATATCATGATAGTGCAAGAGCTTAAGGGCATTTAGATGCAGAGCACATAGATGATCCAAAAAGATATCCGTTTTTTTTTTTTTTAATGAAATTCTCTTTAGAAGGTTATTTAGTAGATTTTTTTTGTTGATTCCACTTTTCTAAATTTGGCTGTACCTACCAAATTTAATTGTACCCATTTTTAAAATGTCAATTGTAACCTTTTAAAAATATCTTGAAAATTAATAATAAAATAAATTTGAGTTTCTTTCTATTCTTGCTTTTGTTCTTTTGATCTGCTTCACATCGCTAACCCTACATTGTTTTATATCTCCAATCCTACACTAAAAATGTACTTTTACACTTAAAGTTAAACTATATTGCTCCTAACCCCAAATTAAACCTAGCATTATAGTGATGATGAATAGTATAAGTGTATAACACTAAATATAATGTTATATTATTCATCAACACTAAATACAATATTAAAATTTCAGATATGAACACGGATCGCAATCCTCTAACTTCAAATTCCAACTCAATCGCAAATGGTTATGGATGTCAAATGCGATCGGATGCGAAGGATCGGAAGTCGACGGAAGATGATTCTTCAATAGCAATTTCGGTTCTGATTCAAATTAGTTGTGATTGGCTCCGAACGGTAGGAATGCTTCGGAGTCATTGATGATCGGCGCGATGACTGGATGGGAACATCGGAGTATGATTGATTACAAAGTCTGATCCGATTATGATTGGTTGCGACCGGTTCCGAATCATCAGAACATATCAGAGTCACATGTTATCGGCACACTTGAGATCAATTGCGATTCTCGGAATGTGATACGATGCGAGCCTCAGTTGCGATTGTGATCCTTAAAGGGTTATCCGATACGATTCTTGGAGCGTTATATGATGTGATTCTCACAATGGAACCAATTACAATACGAACCTCGGAACTTACGATGCAGACCTTGGAACTTAACCTCAGAGCTTACGATTGGTTGTGAACCTCGGAACCAATCAGACTCTCATACACTCAGTTCTGATACATGCATGGATATTGGTTTCGATGGGCTATTTGGTTCGAGTGGGATATTGGATGTGAAGGATGTTGTGGATTGCGACAGCTACTTCAGTTTCAATACACGAGGAGTTGCAATGGAAGCCTTGGAAGTTTAAAAGGAGCTTTTTCCACTTCTTGAGGACATTTACTTTTCTAGCATTTAATTAGTCAATCTAGCTTCCAATATGCCTCTAGAGGCAATTTCTTTGAGTGGGTAGTTGTCACAACTGGAAATTTTGTGTCATGTAATCTATACACTCAAGCTAATGTGAATCAAAAACTTAAGAACATGTGTAACACCTATGATTATGACTTCAAAAACTTCAATCAAATACATCATACAAGTACTACAATTAGTCATCAAACAATTGGAGAACCTAGAAGTCCTTGTTTAAGTCCATTTTGGACTAGGACTCCCTTATTGGATCTAAATGGACCAATAAGCTTCCAGTTAGACTATCATGGGCTTAGAACCCTAATTGGGCTCTAATTGGACCCACACTAATTTATTTCAACATTTTGGGCCATGTTGGGCCTAGAATGAAATGAATTATAAGCCTTGATACATGAATAACCTAAACTAGTCCAATAAAAATATAAAAATCCTACCACATTCTTTTAGGCTTAAAACATACCCAAGATTAACTCTAATATTGGGCTTAGGGACAAAGGCCCAAATTTTTCCTTTTCCCTTCCAAATTCTCGGCCCAATGCCCAAGCCCAAGAGGAAATGGAAGAGTTGACTTAATGCATGCCACCTCATTATTAACCAAAGGATATCTATGCATGGAACTCATACTTCCAAGCATCTATCTCATCAAAGATCACTTCTCTTCTCTCCTTTCTCTCACTCTCGGCCACATTCAAACACACACACAAAAATTTACTCATTCTTCTCTCAAAGAAACTCTCTCCTTTCCTCTCCATAATTTCGAGATTTTAAGAAGCTTTCAAGAGGATCTTTCAAGCTAATCATCATCTTAGGTAAGTATTTACTTATATCCATGATCTAGCTATTTCATTCCATCAAAAATCTCTCCTAAATCTATTCCAACTTGTGATCATGCATCTTAGAAGTCACCAAACTCGAGATCTACCAAGGAAAGGTGCTAAGGCCGAAAATCACTTCATTTTTCCTCCATTTTCTCTTCAAAACCGAAACCACACTAAGGTGAGCTTCATACCCCCTATTTTCTGTTTTTATGAGTTTTATGGGGGGGGGGGGGGGGGGAATACAAGTGAAAGTGTAGATCTATATGTGTTTTGTATGCCTTGTATGATTTCCATGCTTATATTGTAACAGCCCGGAATTTCAGGTATTGTTATATTTATGATTTTGGGTGTTTTAAGAGGGGACTCGGCGAGTTGGAGGCTAGACTCGCCGAGTAGGATCGCGGATCTGGTCGCGGGTTCGCGACTGGACTCGACGAGTCCGGATATGGACTCGGCGAGTCTGCGCTGTTTAGCGAAAACCCTAACCGTTTAGGTTTGGGACGTATATGAGGGACCTTATGGCCGTCATTGTTCACCCTAGTCCTCTGAGAGAAACCCTAATTCGATTGTGAGCATCTGGAGCAAGGTAGAAGACCATTGTTGATTTTTGGAAGTGTTGTTTTGCAAGGAATAGGAGGCTTGGTTAAGGGAACAACAAGAGAAGCCACGTTCTGAGGATTGGGGACACAGAGAGCACGTTATTCAGGTAATATTTCGAGTTGCATTCTTCTATGTTGATGTGTATATGGATTTAGGGTTTATTGAACCCTTTTGTGGCTAGATTGAGTGTTACCTTAGTCCCCCAAGCGATTGGAACCCTGTATTGGGATCTTTGGAAGTCCAGAATGTCCCATGCCTGAGCATTTCGGGAATCAATGGAGGTTTTGGATTGGAATCCTTATGCCTTAGGTCAAAATGTAGATTATGAGTCATGGGGTGTATTATGAGCACCGAAATGAGGACCTTACGTGATAAATCAGTCTAGGAAGGCCAGACCTATGAATGGTCGGAGCAGTTCTGACCTTAGAAAGCAGTTTGAGCGGTTGCATGGCATGGACTCGCCGAGTCCGATGAACAGACTCGGCGAGTAGCTTGAAGATTAACTGGAACTCGTCGAGTTGTTCTTCAGACTCGGCGAGTTGAGTCGGGGTGGCCCCGCGATTCTTCCAGGAGAAACTCGTCGAGTCAAGGAGGATACTCGACGAGTAGAAAGGGAATCTTAGAGAATTGGTGAGGACGTCTAGACTTGCCGAGTCGCCCTAGCACTCGCCGAGTCAGGTCAAGTTGACCGTTGACCGTTGACCAGAGTTGACCTATGTTTGACTTCTTAGGGATAGTCAAACTTAGAAGACAAAAGTGTTAATAAGAGATGTATGATGTTATAGGGAGATTGTAGCTCAGCGGATCGAGTACGAGTGACTTCGGGATTTGCTAGCTTTCGACATTCACGAGGTGAGTCTTCTCACTATACTGTACCCGGAAGGGTTTGACCGTATGACCGGAAGGTCAGATATGATATAAGATATGTGTTTTATGTGATAAGGTAATTGTTATATGTGCTATGTATGATATGTTTGATATGGGCCGGAAGGCATTATGTGATGGGCCGGAAGGCGAATATGTTATGGGCCGGAAGGCGAATATGTTATGGGCCGGAAGGCGTTGTGTTGTGGACCGGAAGGTCGGCGTGGGTAGGACCGGAAGGTTTACCCAGCAGGGACGGAAGTCCCCTGAGACACATGGACCGGAAGGTCAGGGCCTGGAAAGGCATATGTGCGTAAGTTGTATTTTGGGGAACTCACTAAGCATTTATGCTTACAGTTGTTATGTATGTGTTTCAGGTACTAGCAAGGATCGTGGGAAGGCGCCGGCGTGATCTGTACACACTGGAAGATGTTTTGTGATCTTGGGATTTAGATGATTTGTATTTTGACATGACACTTGAAATGTTTATGCCTTGTTTTGAATGAAGATACTATATTTTGAAATGAAAAAAAAAATTGTTTGAAAATTTACGGTGTTACATATATGTGTGTTTTTGTGTGTTATAATGTTGG